CATGTTTGTGTATAAAGTGTGATTCTTCAGATGCTCTTGTTCAGTTTTTGTCTGTGTACTGGTAGCAGTTGCTTTATTTTTCCTTGACTGCTCCTATTCAAAACTGGGACATAGTTTTCAGAATCACACTGTTTCACTCTCGAATTTTAATTATGGGGGGAATAGGAGGGGGTGGAATAACTGGTAACTTAGTTTTAATTGTTTCCCTTTACCTCTGTTTATTAGGGAAATTAAACTTGTTTGATTTTCTCATCTTTACCTCCCTCTTGTGGTGGAACGTGGTAATGACGCTGTGTGTGTGCCTACATGCACACAGACTACTCTTACCTATATACATCTCTTTACACACTTCAAGCCTCAAAACTGTGGTTTTCTGATTTCTTTAAAGGTGCATTTGAGCAGAGTTTTCTTTATGTATTTGTCAAGTTACTACTACCGTGATATTTCTAACACCAGTTTGTACCTAAAGTGTACTGGGAACTTGAAATCAAGATTGTTGTGATAATCTCTTATCTTCAGACAGATTATTAGTTGGTCTAAAAAACCCTTAACCTCAGAGAGTTTGAATAAGCTTCAATTTAAGTGCTAACTGTGCCCTTAAATTTACTCTTTAAAACCTGTATGGTGATTTCTTGTTTGTGACGATAAGTAGGAAGAAGCACTGCTCACAGGGCAGATCTTTTGTGGCTTGCAGCTCAGTACCTGCCTTGCAGAAGAAAGTGAAATATTGGTAATGCTAGGAGCAGAACATAACTAAGAGATGTCAATGATGTCCCACTGCAGCATAGACATGAATGCACCTATAATTTGAACTGGGGATTCAAAGTATGCTTCTCACTCTTCAAGAAGGGTTTTAATCATAGAATGTTAAAGGTCATCTAGTCCCAACCCCCTTGGCATTGGCAGGGACACCTTCCACCAGAGCAGGTTGCTCAAGGCTCATCCAGCCTGGCTCTGAACACTGCCAGGGTTGGGGCATCCACAGCCTCCCTGGGCAGCCTGTGCCAGTGTCTCACCACCTGCACAGTGAAAATTTTCTTCCTGATATCTAATCTAAATTTCCCCTCTTTGTGTGGCTTTTCAGCTGAGTCTGCTTAGGTGGTTTAGGAATGAAAAAGTTAAGATGGCAGAGGGGAGGCAACTGAAGTCCTTGCAGTGATAGTCTTACCTGAGTGTTTGTGAGGTGTAAAGGGGAGTTACCTGTACACTGATGTGCAATGCGTCTTTCATTTGTAGTTGGATCAAGTCCCACTGCTTCAGCTGCTGTCCCTGTTGCACCTCCACCACCACCACCTCCTCCTCTGCCACCACCCCCTCCCTCAGGCCTCCAGCAGAGCAAGTCTGCACTTGATCTCATTAAAGAAAGGAAAAACAAAAAAACGAACTCTGGCCAGAATGTGACGGAAAATGGGCCAAAGAAGTCTGAAATACCAAACATGCTAGAAATCCTCAAAGACATGAACAGAGTGAAACTGCGCTCGGTGAACAGGTAATAAATATGGATAAGTATCAACATACTAACATTGGCATTAATAGTTTGGGTTTATGGCTTGGAACTATTTCAAGGTGAAACAGATGCTGATGAAACATTTAACAATGCAAAAGTATCCACAACTGCTAAAGTTTTGTTCTGGACAGTGTTAATGCTTCTCATTTTCTTTTCTAGGTCCTCAGAAGTTACAAAATCTAAAGTGGCTGACCCTGCAGATCCTGCAGCATTAATAGCAGAAGCTCTCAAAAAGAAGTTTGCTTATCGATACCAAAACGATAGCCAAAATGAAACAGAAAAAGTTCTTCCAAAGACTGAAACAAAGACACAGACTGAGGTAGTGCTGGTGAGTATTGGGATTCTTAACACGTGTTTGTACTAAGTCATAGTTGTATGTCTGTACCAATGTGTGTCTTTCTGCCAATATATGCTGATACCTACAGGTTAGTATCCCTGTCCACAAAACCCTGTTAAGCACTGTTGATATGCCAGGATTTGTGACATTGTGAAAAGGAAATCATATTTGAAATGCACATCATGGCACAAGTTAATGGCTCCTAGTTCATTTCAGGTTGATTTGAAACTGAAGAGGGTTTTAAGCAGTGAACATTCAAGACAAGTTTCCAGCAAAGCTAGTTCAAAAGCAGGCTGGTATAGATCAGTTTGGGTTGTAAGCAATCCTTGAAGCCTTGTGCTATGGCACCAGTTACTTTTTCCCTTTGTGCATTTGGAAAAATGCATCTAAAACTCCAAAAGCCAGATGTGGTCTGAGTTAAGTTTTAAGGAAAATAGCATTCCCAAGCCACAAAATCTCAGGACTTTTGAGTACTTCAGCGAATTAATGTTGACTTACTTGCCTTCTGCTTTTGGTATGTTTCAGTAAGGTTCAGGCTGTTCTTCATAACTAAAAAGCTGGATATTTTCCAAGAATTAATGGCTTTTTTCCCCAGCATCTCTGGGGCTTTAAGGAAACGGTCACAAGTTGACAATGTTTTATTCACACTGGGGTTTCTCATGACTTTCCAGCTCTGAAATTTACAGGCTGTCCTCTGAGACTGAGGATCATCAAGTTCTCAAGAGCTAAGAAAACGGAAGGTTATGTTAAATGATAGAATATTGATCTGTAATGAGCTAATAAAACCCATCCATCAGTTCCTTACCAGTATGTAACTTCTTTGTTAGGTCAGACTTGTATGATCTTTGTATGGGACAGTTTGGAAAAGGATTTGCACAAAAATGCAGGATAGAGTAAGAACAAAAATGGTGTTAAACTGCTGCTAGAGCAGTTGGTTGGCAACTTCTAGAGACAACTACATACATGTATCTTCTTACTTGGCTGTGGCAGAGTGAACTGTCTCTATCAGAGCTGCTCCAGCAGGTCCTTACCTGCCTCATCTGAGTGGTTTCAGCTGATTGCTGACACAAGTTCCCCTTTACTTTGTAAAATCCACATGCACATAAGCAGATTGATAAAGGAAATTATCTTTGCCCAAGTTTTGCTTTTACTTACAACTTGTAAAGTGCAATGAGGTTTCTGTTGAACGCAACCTGACCATGTTTCTGGTTTCCTTTCCAGTTTGGGCCACACATGCTGAAGTCTACAGGAAAGATGAAGACTTTAATTGAGAAATCTTAGTGTATGGAGATCACTGTGCAAAGGACTGTTGAGCTGTTTTGTCTGAAATATGTTATGTTGCAAATAGCACTAGTACCGAGTGGTCTCTTTCTTGCAGCACAGGAAAAGCCTAATGTGAAGTGCTGAAGTGAGGCATGAAACATGTTTGTACATGATTTACCAAGGGAAATAAATTGGACCATTATACTCAGGTATTAATTCTGTATTCAAACCTGGCTTTCCATTCAGAATTATGTGGTGGGCTTAGTTGATTAACACTAAGTTATTTATACAACATTCTTTATGCATAACTGACCACTGTAAGAATTTGTATCCATGTAAATAGTGATGGTGATACACCCTTAAGTTAAGATCAGTTATGTGAGCTCTACCTGTAACTTGCACTACAAGGAGTAATTTGATACTGAAATTTTCACATTGAAGTCTTTCTTTTAAACTTAACATTGACAAATTTTTACCCAAAAGAAGACCTGGAGTCACTCTGCTGCTTACTGAAACAAAGTGAAAACTTGAATCTGCTGCAGAGTCAGCTAAATTTTAAGTAGTCGCACATTTTTGTGCAGGGTTTTTTGTTTGCTTCAAATGAACGTGCAAGGGGTAAGAGAGCAAAACCTGCTTATGTCATCCTGTGGCCGATATAGAGAGTGCAGGAAGTGAGTAAATCATGCTCTGGGAGCCCCTGGGAATAGGTAGTCCAGTGAATTTGAAATTAGTCAGTAGATTGCAGTAGAGTAAAATAATTTCAGAGTATGTGTTAGTTAGCATAAAGTGGTGTAAATCAGAAAACAAAGGTACAAAGTCCTGTGGGTTGCAAGTTGCCAAAAATACATTGCTTATCTTTGCTGCTCCAAGAAAAGTTCGTGGACACCTTTGTCCCCAGCTGTCTTGGGTCCCTGGATAGGTTCTGGCAGCTGGGGCCTGCACAAGCCTCGTGGTTCTGCTTGCAGGGAAGAGATGGTAAAAGCTGTTGCACACAACCTGTTTTACAGGGGAAGCCCTTGGGGGCCTTCCCATAGCAGCTGTTTGCTGCCAGACCTGTACCAACCACCTGAGCTCACATCTCCAGCCACAGGTGTAGGAAGGGCTCAAGCTAAATATAGATGTCAGGGTGAAAAAAAGCTGTTCAGGAACTGAGAGCTACAGCTCAGCCACACACTGAAATGGAGCCAAGGTTTGCTCTGACTGTGGATGAGCACAGAAAAAGCTGAGCCTGGGTATTTTGGTGCTCTAAGCTGATCATGGCTCCTGGGACAAGTGCCTCTGGGAGCTTTGTTTTCTAGGAAGAGACAAAAGCAGCACTTCCCAAATAGAGCTGAATGGCTCTGTTGAGGTTACTGAAGACAAAGAAATTTTGCTGCTTATAACTGGAATGTGGATTGTACACCGAGGAGAGTCTGCTGGTGTGAGCTTGACATGATGTTAATGCATACACAATGTAACTTCCTTGCAAAATGTTGTGCCCTCAGCCTTACTGACAGGACAGTCAATCTCTGTGTTCCTTTTAATGCCTTTAAAACACCTTTCTGAAAGTTCATCTTGGTTTTAAAGTTTTGTATTTTATGCTCTACTGCCACTATGTAAAATTAAAAGCAATTCAAATAAACATTGCATATTTCATCTGTGGTACTCTACAGACTGTAGCAGCCACAATAAAGTATAGTTTACATTCTGTTCCAGCAGCTGTAAATCAGTGTAGTGACAACCTACTGGCATGTCCTCCAGGACTGGACTGCTTACCTTGCTGTGCAGCAGGAACAGTGGAGTTAGTCATAGAACAGCACAGTGCTGTTAATTCAGTTACATTCAGATTAAACAAAAAAGTTCTCAGGAACCAGTGAGAAGTTTGTGCCTCACCACGAACACAGCAGGAAGTTACTTCTTTTTAACGGTCTCTCCATCCCCTGGTACACAGACAGTCCAATTCAGTCATTAACTTGTAAATCTCAGGACATCACTTGGCCTATCAGCCTAGGCTAAAACATGAGAAAAGCCCACACCAGACCCTGCCTGTTTGCACTGGGGCATCCAGCAGCCCAGAAACGGGGTGAGCCTTATCAGTGATGTAAAATCATTGTACGAGAAATGTCATCTGCACAAGAAAATAAAATCACAAAGCTGCCATCGAATAGTTTATTTTACACTTTTTTGTACCTTAATTTGTATCTGTCTGCTTGAAATCATCTACAGACACAGTAGTACACCTCAAGTGCTGAGACATCCACACACGCTGGGGGCAGAGCCTTGAGCCATGACCTGAGGCCTGTTTCTATCTGTCTGTGATCACAAAGGAATACTACTGAGAGCAGATCTGTAAGTTAAAACACTGTGGTGGGGGCCTGACCCCATCCCCTAACATGTTTCTGGGCTCTGGTGGGTTGGGAGCAGCTGTGGTGCATTAGGTACACACTGAGCTCTCCTGTGAAATGATCAAGCTGCTGGAATGAAGCTCCATGTGGATTTGTAGAAGGCATTTCCAGACAGCATGTTCAAGAAAAGGCTTGTTTTTTGTTCTTTTGTTAATTCACTCCAATGTCAGAAGCTTCCATGGACACTTAAGAGGTGAGATTAGAACCAAACTTTCTCAATGCAGTCTGGTAGGAAAGGACAAGAGGCCACTTTCCAGGAAAGGTGGCTTGGAACAAAACTACTCCTGTTTTACTCTAAGCACCTTGACAAGCTGTACTGGTTCCTGTCAGAGCAGAGGACAGCAAGACTGCACAACCTTAAAGAATCCCAGGCTCTGCAAATGCTCTGTTGAAATAAATACTGTATACCTACTTGTAGCAAAACTTACAATGCAGTTGAGGGTCATTACACAAAGTCACGTTTTAAAACAGACCCGTCACAGAAGACATCATCGGGTACTGATTTTAGTGGTTTTAAAAGGAGCTGCAGGTTTGGTGTATGTTTTATTAAAAAAGGTCTGAGAGGAATCAGCCCTTGTCCACATCTAACGGTACAAAGCTGTGCAGGCTGTAAGGAAGCAGAGCTGTAGTCTCTCTGTAGTAAGTTCCTCACACGCAGCCATTACCTCCGTGTTCCGACAGCTTCCAACACCACTGGCAAGTACCTCCCCTTGAAAGGCAACCTGTTAAACAAAGGCTGTTCTGCTCCTGCAAGTTACAGCCAGAGCCCATGGTCCCACCTGTCTCTGCTGCAAGTCAGACAACAGCAAGAACTTGCACTGACAGCAAAGGAAGGAAGTTCACGCACGTTCCAAGGAATGGTTTCATTAGAAATTTATTTCTTTAAACATGGCCACTTTGAGATTAATGATACTACTTCAGGGAACATGAAAGAATAATAAACAGTTTTAGAAGGGAAACAATCAGGTAAGTCAGGATTTGCTTTTCAAACAGTAAAAGGCCAAGCTCCAAGAGGCAATAAATTTTGGCATACGAGGACTAGTATTTTCAAATCCAAAAGTTGGCTTAGTTTTACAGTGGAAGCTGACTGCAACCTTAGCTACCTTTCCACAACGCTGGACTCAGTCGTAACTTAAATGTACAGGAGCACAATGTGAAAAGATTTTTGTTTTATTAATTAAAAGTTAACAGCAACAGGCACATATTAAAATGGATATGGCAAAGCCTTTACAAATGGCTTTACGCCGAAGCTCTCTCCCAAAAATGGCTGTTGCAACGAACTGTAAACAGAATTAATAAACAGTCTTTTACAATAATAACAGGGAAATACAAGTGAACTAAAATAAAGCACCAGTTTCTCAAACTAGATTACAGTTGTGCTTACTGTACTGAAAACAATGTAAAACAAATTACAAAAATGGAATGTTTTAAGTTTAAAATTAGTCCTTTTAATTTTGTCCTAAAAAACATTTTCTCCTTTTCCCATCAAAAACCCATCCATGGGTAATGTGTCAATAGAGGGAGGAATACGTAAACAATGCACTTTTTTTTTATTCTTTTTTTTTTTTCAAATCAAAAACAAATTTGGTCACTTAGCTTTGTGCATAGTTTAAGGCATCTGTAGCAAATTGTTACAGTTTCCTCCCCGATGTGGCTGTTCATGAAATTGTCACATTCTAAAAGAATAAATTAAAACAGAAAATAAAATGTTGCCGTTCAAACCCTTCCCCGCCCCTCCCGTCCCCCCGCCCCAAACGGACTCACACACCCACACATACACACACGCTGCAGCGAAAGGGGCATTTGTACCCTTGTTCTGAAGGACACGCTTCCCATCCCACTTTATTTCAGATTGGCAAATACCCTGAGCTGATTATGGTGTTTAGACATTCCACCTTTTTTTTTCTTGCATGTGCAGTTCAAGTGTACAATAGTGGAAACAACATGCGATGTTTCCACTGCAGAATCGCAATGCAGTTCGGACGCTTCCCCCCACCCCCACCCCTTCCCTTCCCAGATCCAGAAGTGTTTTTGTCGCCGTTAAAAAATTGCATTCCCATATAGCACTGGAGTAAAGCTTGGCTGTGCTCTATGATGAATGCTCAGTTCCCAGTGCACAAACAAAATTATGGCAAATGGGAAGCTTTTCTGGCATCCAAAGAAACGAGCTGCAGTCTCAGATTTGATCTTTTTCTTTTAAAAAAGCAAAAAACCCCAAGTTAGTGGTTCCTTCACAGCCATGCGCAAAGGTTAAGTCTAGAACCGAGAGTTTCAGAGTACATTTGTAAACATCAAGTCTTGCCAGAGGCAGCAGAGGATGGGCACTTCACATTTCCATATTAAAACAGGGGCTGAGTGGAAGGTATGCTTTGAACACATTTATGCGAGTCTTGCTAAATTCCAAGGAAGTGGAACAATCCTTCTCTAGTCTTAGATTTGAAGACCATATTCCAAATTTCACCAAAAACCCAAAGCCATGTGGCACAACGAAGCTTTCGTCCTGCCGCTCCAAGGCTCAGTCACTGCTGTGCTTTGCATATTCAAGGTTCCGAACGAAAACCAACTGAGGCTGATGCATATTGCTCTATGTTCAGATCTTACGGCTTAAAAAAATTCTGGTTCAAATGGTCTGTGTCAAAGGAAAACTTGGAAATAAATAATGCTGGCATCATTTTCCCATTTTACTAAAACCTTGGGCTGGCATGTGTCTCCTTTAGTCCCACCGTGCAGATACCAAGAGAAGAGGCAGTTTTGTCATGGAGACTGAGGTCAGGACAATCGAGGTTCCTGAGGTAATATGTCTGAGTCCATTTCCTCAAAAGTAGGGTCAACGTCCTCACCACTGCCAGACTGTTCCCTCTGCACTCCCTTCCAGCTCGCCTTGTTCAGCCCCAGGTGGCCAAGCATGGTCTGCGACAGCCTGGTGTTGGAAAACCGGGCCCACTCCCCAAACAGTGGTTCCACTAAGTAGGTCATAAAACCTTTGAAAACAAGCAAACAGCCCAGTGAAAAAACAAGCCAACCAACCCAGAGAAAACCAAAAATACTCAAGGTAAGTATTTTAAATAGAATTTAGAAACAAAAAATAAACATGTCAAGTTACTACTCTCCGATGTGTATTTAAAAATTCATCTCAATATTTAGGGCATCTCTACAAAAAAAAAATCTCTCAAAATGTAAAAAAGATTTGACTAATCAGTCAGAGCAGCAATGCACTGGGGTACAAATTCACCTGCTTCCCTTCACAGCAGTGACCAAAGAAACAAGAGTACTGCAGAACATGGGGGGGACCTAAACATCAGCAACTAAGCCGCACAAAATAGTTTAGAAAACCTAAGTTTCTAAAAGAAAGATTTTACAATGAATTACCCATAGACAGTCTGAACTGTACTACACAGGGGGGAAAGGAACACATTATTTTCACAATATTAAGCCAACTAAAACTACTTTCAAATACAAATTACAGAAACTTTTAAACAAAGCTACAAAGCATCAACACACACTTGTATAAACATCTGTGTGTCTGTGCACATCTTTGTGTGTGCACATCTTCACTTATTTGTAGTGTCTATTGCCACGAACCAAAAATTCAGTGGTACGATGACCAAATCTGCATCTGTCAATGACAGCAATGCACAATTTCCTACCGTTCTGAATTAAGACAGAGCAGCTTTGGTGTCAATTCAAAGCACTAACTCAGATTGTGTTTGTGGTTACATTGATTCTTTTCTTTACTGTGCTTTTAACTGAGTCTTATTCGACCTACATAAGCAACTGTAGTAAAAATAACTATAAAAGGTCATTTTACTATTTTCAATCCAACTCAAGTTAGCAAAAGCTATTAATATAATGGCTATTCACCACTCTCCACCAAACCTCTGCCCACCACCCTCCTTAACGGCTGCATTTAAAGGGAACACTGACACTCCAGACAGCTAAACCCGAAGAGCTGGAGCCCTGTTGTGGCAATCTTGCTGGAAAAAGCACCCAAGACCACATGGCAAAGGGAAGGAACTCTCCTCCTCCCAAAAGGGCCACCTCAGATGCTGAGAGCTCTGGCACCATGGTGGGAGAAGCCAGAGCTGCCTCCCATGCTGTACCTGCTCCGTGAGGAACCCGAGGGGCTCTGGTCTCCTGCACCGTCAGTGCAGCACCTCCAGCAAACAATGTGAGCAACAAGTGTTATCTAGCAAATTGAAATAAAATTGCTCTTTGTACTGAAGTGCTGTTACACACACAGAGCAGGTACAACCCTCCAGAAAAGGTATCCTAAAGGTGCTTTTTGCACATTGCATTCTGCAAGTAATCTCCTCAAAGAAACTGAATTGCAGTTACCAATCTGGATGTTGGCAATAGTTTCCGTCTGTCGGTCACAAAGTGGACTCACACCCAAGTGATACTTTTTTTCAATATCACCTAAGGAAACAAAAGTATAATACAACTGTTAAGTCAGCAAGTCTGGCACAAATCCTAACACCAATAGAGCTGAGCTGTGCAAGGGGGTTAACAGGGACGGTATCTTGCAGCTAGTGGAATGCACTTGCTCTTGTCCCCATCTCTTAAAAGAGCTAGATCTGTCACTGAGACTAGCTGTATTTATAAACATTATATCTAAATACTTTGTATTTTTCATCAAACTATAATTAAACAAAAAACAGCGAACCACAGGTTTCCCACAGGATTAACATGGTCTTCCTTGCGAAACCTCCCAGATCGTCATAGAAATGGCAAGTTAAAATCCCTTCTTTAAACCTTCGCAACACGGAAGAGAACAGCACTTAGCCCTCAGAAATCTCTCGCTCAAGGAAGTTTGTTGCTCTGCTTCCTCATCACTTTTATCTAAGATTAAGCCTCTTAATCACCAAATACAGCAGTATGTTCCCCATGGATTGTATCCACATGTAAATCAGCAAGTCAGCTAAACTAGCCTTAACTTTATTATTAAAACAACTTAATATTAACGAAGAAAATTCACTCAATTTGTCAATTAAAAGCTTTATTATTTTTATTATTATGCTTACATAAGGAGTCTTAACTATATGGTAACTAAAAGTCTCCCTGGCTCTTCCCTGCTAACCAGCAGGCCTCAGAGATGAAGTTTAAGTAGTGAAGACACATGATGAACATATTTCCTAATTTACTGAAGCCACCAGGTAAATTCAAAGTGGCCATAATTACTCATCCTAAGCACCTTTCAGGCTGAGGTATGTACTGCACCAGCCACTCTAGGTTCAGATTCTAAGTAGATTCTTCATTGAGCTTTAGTCACTCTGACCTTTTGCAAGAAGTACAAGCAATGAAAGCAAAAAAACCCCATACTGTACTGTAAATCTGCCAGCTCTCAATCAAAATCCCTTTATTTGCATGCAGCTAGGACTCATGGATGCTCTCTCCATGCTGTAAATACACCGGGTACAAATTGAAAGAGGGGAAATTTAGGTTAGATATCAGGAAAAATTTTTTTACTGTGAGGGTGGTGAGACACTGGCACAGGCTGGCCAGGGAAGCAGTGGCTGCCCCAGCCCTGGCAGTGTTCAGAGCCAGGCTGGATGAGGCCTTGAGCATCCTAGTGTAGTGGGGAGGTGTCCCTGCCCATGGCAGAGGGTCGTGACTAGATGATCTGTAAGGTCCATTCCAACCCCTGAACTTCTATGATTCTATGACTATACACTAACAGATAATTCTGCTTGTACTTGCCTTGATGGAAGAACTCTTCTGTTACTTTTTCACTCCACTGCTTGCTCAGCTCCCACGTCCGACATGGATTACAAATATCTGCACACTTCAAAGCCATCTGACAAGTTAACACACAGTGTTAGATCACCTTTCCCTCCAACACCAGCGCCTCTAAGCATTTATTTCCTGACAGCAGATTATTTTAAGCTTTATGAATAACAAACCTACCTACCATTTGTGCTCCAAATTTATGTCCTATAATATTTAAAAACCACTCAGGGAACTATCAGATCTCATGATCGTCCCTGAGTAATATGGAAATTCAGTCGAGTTGAAGTATTTCAGAAGCACTAAATTTAGTACATTCACTGGTACAAGAGCCAAAAATAAAATCAGAAAAAGAAGCTTCAAAGTAAGCAAACAGTATTTTCCATTTCTGTCTCTGAAGCTCCTATTTTTAGTAATGGTTTGCACAAGACAGAACTTCTCATCTGTTTGCCCACTTTCTTTTTATAGTTCACAACATGAACCCAATGAGAAAATGTCTATGAACTGAAAAAGACTCTCAAGGACTGTTTTGAAAGTTTGCTAAAGCTCATTGGCACAGCTGCAAACTAATTCACAACAGCAGTGCTTTCCTTCCCTAAGGTAAGTTCTAACAAAGCGATTCACAGTTCCGAGGCTGCACTGGAGTCATCAGAAGAGATAAACCTTGTCTTGGAAACAGTTCTCCTTGCTTTAGCAGCCCCAAGTTATCAGACCTACCAGTACACAGCATTACCTGGGAGAAGTGCTGGGGGCAGCAGGTATGGAAGTGGGGGAAACAACCTTTTTTGTATTGAAACAGAATGACTCAAAGATAGCTCTGCTCCATTTTGAGAGAAGGAGAAAGCCTGGCAGAGGCATCATTCAGTGTTTTTAAGTAAATTATTTTCTATGCTCAATGTTTTCAAAAATATTACCAAGATCACCTGTAAAATGAAGTGCCGATGGTTCGCGTTCTCTAGACATAGGTCTCCTCTATCCAAATGGGATCGAAACATGGACAGATACTCGTTTTGCTGACTGATGTCTGTGGCAAGAATGAGATCACCTATCTGGCTTTCCATCAGCTGCCTGAAATTAGCGACAGTAAACATTCAAAAGCTTAACAATTAACAACAACAGTCATTACTAGATTTACATGTCTTTTTATCACACTCATTATTTCACAAATACAAGCTTTATAATAAGCATTTTTACTGAACTGTTTGTTTTCTTTTGGACAAAAATTCTTACAACATCCACAGAACTATCAGGATGTTTTGTTGGCAGCTTTCAGGAAGACTTTAAAACAGTTTTCGCTTTTTTTCTTCCCCACCCTTTTTTTTTCCCCTTAAAAATGCACAAACTAATTGCTTAAAGATTATTTCTGGTTAGAGTAGGTGAAGAGGGTCTATTTTAAACTACAGTTGTGGTGGCAGAATGAGAAAAGGCTGCCAAATTTAATCTGAACAGGTGCTTGACTACAGAAATACATTTCTTGAGCTTGCTTGCAGTAAATGTTATTTTCCGAATATCACGTTGCACCATGAACTGCTCTACTCCAACAGCACAGTATCCAGGAATTCCTGAAATAGATCCTAATCTGCATTTTGTATTCAAAACTGCCATGCAATAATTTATCTTGCTTTGCAAGGCTGTCTTACTTAAGTGACAGCTTGCTTACGTCTTCAACTGATCTACACTCCTCAGTATAAACATACCTGTTTTCTAATGACATATGTGCAAATAAACCAGATTCTCTCAGCAACCCCACGGCCGATCTCCAGTGATGGTTCTCTAATACTGAGGTATTCTGTGAATGGAGAGGGAGTATCACAGATCAGTGACTTCTTCTTAAACTGAAGAGCCAATACAGCAATATACCAAGATATATACCAGGCAGTTGGTCTGTGTTGGGGTTGGTCTTTTTCTTTCTTTCCTCTATTTACTTTGCCATGGAGGTTAAACCTCAAAAATCCTGAATACTTTGTTAATTTGCACTTTTTTTTTTTTATGCCAGTGACATGGAAACAATATCTGCATTCAAACCTACCACTAGCTAACCACATCACCACTTATACTCCCTTTTCTGTGCTCCTCAGGCAGTCTCCAAACCTGGTTTTAACAAAACAAGTGATTTTATCCTTACCTTATACAGAGTCGCTAAGTAATGGTTTGTTTTAATTAGGAAAGGTTGGTTAACACCTGGGTGATCCAAATCGTGTGTGGCAGCTGCTATTAAGCTGAGCAGAACATCCCATGGAGTTAAAGATCTGGCAAGCTGCAAAGCAAAACCACCAAATGTTAGCAGTGCAAGTATGCCCTCAGGGAAAGTACATGGCTGAGGCATTTTAGATTTTTAGTAATTAACAGTTGATAGAAATTCAGTGAAAATTTTTAAGATGTCAAATTAGTATTTCATTGACTTTTCACAGTATTTCCCCCACCAGAAGCTACAAAATTTCAACAATGGTTTGAGCATTATTCTTTCTGAATGGGAAGGTTCACTCTTACATGCTGACACCCACAGTCCTACTTTCTGGCTGGTAACAAAGTACTATTCCTAACCAGATCCCATAAAAGCAGCAAATTCTTAACATTAGCTCTCCATCTCATTTACCAAGTCCATCTGTATGTGTCAATTCTGCTTTAAATACATACTATATTTTTTTTAAAAAAAAAACAAAACAACACATAAAAAACTTTCCTCTTCAAAGTAAGAAACTAATGCTCTGGAAGACTTTAGGAGCGTTGAGTTTTGGGTTTCCACTCTTACACAAAATTATACCTCAAAGTCTACCAGGAAGAGAACCAAAGCAGCAAAATCTGCCACAAACAAATATTTTCAAGATGTATGTGCACATCGATTAACTCAGCTCTGCAACTGCACGGACTTACTTTCACTGCTCAGAGCTGTTACTACTCCTGGTTGGGAGGTTTGCAAATTAAACTCAGTAATAAATTCTAGCTAGCACTAAAACAGGGAAGACAGTTCTGCCCATGCAAAGGTGAAATGCAGCAAACACCCAGTGAGGACAGAAGTTTATATTCCCTCTTGCATTTGCTATCTATCAGGCCTCACATGTTTATAACGTACTTGGGTGCAATAGAACCAGTAGCTGTATACAGGTTACTAAAAATACCAAGTCTACACTTGTATCTAAAGCATTGCAGAACTTCCATTGCAAGTATTAAATGAAAAATGCTCAGAGCTGCCAAGCTGCCTGCCATGAAAAAGCTCATCATGTATCAGCTCTGATCTGGCTCACTGCACCAACAATTGATCTGAGAGCAGCACTGAGAAACTGAGTGGGAGGAGTGGGCAAAGAGCCTCTGAAAAACATCCATGGAGCCAGAACTTACTTGTTTTTACCTCAGAAGCAGAATAAGGAGTTGTGCTACTCAAGGGAATACCAGATCGGTGATAACCTGCACCAAGGGAGATAACTTGTCTCACCTGGCTAGGGAACACTACAGTTTTCAATTTAATACAGAAGGACAGGATTTAGCCCCGAAATTGTCCATACATCACTTACAGAAGACTGACAGCAGTCACTGGGAAACACTCAACTAGCTCAGCTCCTTAAGGTCTGTCACCCTGCCCTTTCTTGAAAAGAAAGGCCAAAGGGAACTCCTGATGGATTGCTATAAAATGCCTTTAGCAGAAACATACTATTCAGTAACATCAAAGATGAGCAAAGCAAGGGTAATGGCAGTCTCTGGAAGAAAAAAAAACACCCCAGATGACAAATACACAGGTTTATTATTGCCAGCTCTGACTCAGGCTGCAATTCTATGTAAATGCCTTGGGGCACAGCACTGTGTTAAACAGCTGCAATCTTAATTCCCTGTTCTGGTTCAACACAAAATCACACAAAAGACAATGTCAGCCCAGAAGAGAGGAAAAAAGAAAAGCATAGTGCTAAGCATGAACCCACAGCCTCAGCAACAGAGAGAGCAATAGAGAGTTCAGAAGTGCTTCTGATTGGGTTCTTAGGTTTCTTTACTTCTTATTAAAAGTGTATATGCACATCTGTGCATACACACATACATGTGTGTCTGTGTGTGTGTGTAT